TAGTGTTCATGGATTGGTAGAATAAACATCAAAATGTTCATACTACTGAAAGCAATCTACAGATTCAGTGCAATCTCTATTAAAACACCAATGGCGTATTTCACAGATCTAGAACAAATATTCCGAAAATTTATATGGAACCCAAAAAGATCCTGAATAGCCACAGCAATCTTGAGAAAGAAGAACAAAGTTGGAAGGATCACAATACCAGATATCAAACTATACTACAAAGCCAGTGTAATCAAAACAGCCCGGTACTGGCACAAGAACAGGCATATAGATCAATGGAACAGAACAGAGACCCCAGAAATCAACCCAAGCCATTACGCTCAATTAATATTTGACAAAGGAGGCAAGAGCATACAACAGTATGTTTACTCAATGGAGTAAAGACAATCTCTTCAATAAATGGTGTTGGGGCCCTAGCTGGTTTGGCTCAGTGGATAGAGTATTGGCCTGCGGACTGAAGGGTTCCTGGTTCGATTCCAGTCAAGGGCACATGCTTGGGTTGTGGGCTCAATCCCCAGTGGGGGGCGTGCAGGAGGCAGCCAAGCAATGATCCTCTCTCATCATTCATGTTTCTATCTCTCTCCCTCTCTGAAATCAATAAAAATGTATATTTTTAAAAATGGTGTTGGGAAAACTGGACAGGTACATGAAAAAAATGGAACTAGACCACCAACTTACACCATACACAAGAATAAACTAAAAATGGATAAAAGACTTAAATGTAAGACGTGAAACCATAAAAATCCTAGAAGAAACCATAGGCATCTCTCGTAGCAAAAGGTTTACGGATACATCTCCTAGGGCAAAGGAAACTAAGGGGAAAATAAACAAATGGGGCTACAGCAAAATAAAAAGCTTCTGCACAGCAAAAGAAACCATCCACACAATGAAAAGGGAGCCCACTGTATAGGAGAACATATTTGCCAATAATACATCTGATAAGGGGTTAATTTTCAAAATACACAAAGAATTCATACAATTCAACACCAGGAAGACAAACAATCCAATTAATAAATGGGCAAAAGACCAGAATAGACACTTCTCCAAAGAGGACATACAGATGGCCAATAGACATATGAAAAAATGTTCCACGTCACTAATCATCCAAGAGATGCAAATTAAAACTAGAATGAGGTATCACCTCATACCTGCCAGAATGGTTACCATAAATAAATCAACAAACTACAAGTGCTGGTGAGGATGCGGAGAAAAAGAAACCCTAGTACCCTGCTGGTGAGAATGCAGACTGGTGCAGCCACTGTGGAAAACAGTGTGGAGTTTCCTCAAAAAATTAAAAATGGAACTTCCATTTGACCCAGTAATCCCACTTCTAGGAATATATCCCAAGAAATCAGAAACACCGATCAGAAAGGATATATGCACCCCTATGTTCATAGCAGCACAATTTACTATAGCTAAGATCTGGAAACAGCCCAAGTGCCCATCAGTAGATGAGTGGATAAAAAAGCTGTGGTACATCTACACAATGGAATACTATGGGGCTGTATAAAAAGAAGGAGCTCTTATTCTTTGAGACAACCTGGATGGACCTAGAGACTATTATGCTAAGCGAAATAAGCCAGTTAGAGAAAGACAAATGTTATATGATCTCACTTTTATGTGGAATCTAGGGAACAAAATAAACTGATGAGCAAAATAGATCCAGAGATATGGATGCATAGAACAAAATAACAGATCTCAGTGGGGGTGTGGGGTGGGAAGGGATAGGAAGAGATTAACCAAAGAACATATATGCATACGAGCATAACCCATGGACACAGACAATAGTATGGAAAAGGCTGGGTTGGGGAGGGGTTTGGGTGGAGGGGGACAAAAAGGGAGAAAATGGGAAACATCTATAATATTACCAATAATAAAAACAAACAAACAAACAAACAGCCCTAGCTCAGTGGATAGAACGTCAGCCTGCAGACTTAAGCATCCCGGGTTCAATTCCAGTCAAGGGCACATGCCTGGGTTGTGGGCTCGATCCCCAGTAGAGGGCATGCAGGAGGCAGCCAATTAATGATTCTCTCTCATCATTGAAGTTTCTCTCTCTCTGTCCTTCTCTCTTCTCTCTGAAATCAATAAAAATATATTTAAAACAAGCAAAAACCTGTATCATAGTTTATAGGTTTTATTTTATTATTTTAATATTGTAAATTATTTTTAAAATATTGTATAATATTGTAAATAATGTTGTGGTAAATATGTTTGTGAATCAACTTACCCTCCTACCAAAGATGAGTTACATATCATTATTATTTTGTACTGAATAATTAGTAAAGTTTAAGTGTTTGTTTGCCATCTATATGTCTTCCCTTATGAAGTGCCCTTTCAGTCCCTTTGCCCCTTATCATTCTGGGTTTCAGCTAAGTTTATCAGTCTGGATGAGCCTGTGACACAGAATGGCTGTTTGTTGTGATAACTGTTGGGACAATTTGTTTCATTTTCTTCCCCTTGACCAAGAAACAGACGTAGAATACAAGTTAGTGTGTTGGTTTGACCATTGTCACTTGAGAGCCATGGTATGACCAGGGCCTCAGGAGTGGAGGTGATCTCTGCTCCAAGGAGAAACGACTCCCAGGTCAGGAAACAGTGAAAATATTCTCATATGATTAATGTGAGGTAGCTTTCCCCCTCAGCATAAGCACTTCTAACTTTTTTATACTAATAAAGAAAAAGGGAGTGGTAGCTGAAACAAATGCAAACGCTGTATTGTCCGCTCTAAATTATGTTTTCATCAGGTTCGTGTTAAGAAGTAGTGACAGTTTCCCGAGGCTATGGCTGAGAAACCATTATCATTCTGGCAAACGTTTGCAGTGAAATACCGGCTGGGTCCCTTACGTTACCTGGCTCTGCCGGATAAGAGGGCCTCGGCATTTTCAGGCTCAAAGCACCCGGACACCCGGAGAGACGGGGTGAACCAGGGAACTTTCCCAAGCACTGATTTGCATCCCCGGCCCTGTCCTGAGTGTGAGCCATCCCTTGCCTACAGTAGCCAAGCCCAGAAACACTTGAGACAGGCTGAGTGAACAGGGAGATGGCTTTCTGTGACTTCTTGCTGTTGGCACCTTATTCACGTAAGATGGCTAAAGGGGCTCTGTTTCTTCACGCTCTTTTGAATTCAAGAATGAAAATGAAGTTTAAAAATTGCCATGGTGCCTCGTACCTCTTTTCATAGAGGAAGGTTTATAGTTCCAATCTCCAGCTCCCAAGCATGGTTGTACTTATATACTACAATGTCTATCCTCTTATATGGAAACTCTGTGGCATACAAATATCGATCACACACTTATTTACAACTTCCACTTTGCCATTGGCTTAATACTTCTTTTTATTATTTTTTTTACTTTTTAAAAAAATATATTGTAGACGAAAGGGGCCACATGCTGACCTGACAAGCTCAGGAGAGGCCTGCATGGCAATTTTGCAGACTCGGAGACCTAAAGTAACCACAAAGGATGGTCTGAAATTAAACCTTAACTAAAAGCAGTTATGGTGGGCAGTTACGTCCTAAGCCGATATCTTCACTGATAAGGTCAACCTTTACCGTGACTGAGCCTATCTGTCTTTTTGCATCTATGATAACATACCCTTGAAATGTCTGGGTAACTTGTGACTTCCCTGTATCTGGAGCCCCTGGGGCACAACCAGGTGTGCTGGGCCCAGGACAGATGCTGCAGATTCTTTCATTTATCATGTTAATTGTTCCTGCACCCACCTAAGGCTCTGGCTATCATTTTACTTTTTATCCTATCACAGAGGTTCCTTCATCAGTACAATGAAGTGAATTAGTTATGCAAATAATAATAATAATGAAACCTTGAGAGTATTTGCTTAGGAAGTTTTCAATATTCAGTATTTTTGGAAGTGTCAATGAAGTACTGATGGGGTGGTGATAATAATCTGGCCACTCAGTGTATACATTTTTATTGATTTCAGTCCGCAGGCTGACACTTTATCCACTGAGCCAAACTAGCTAGGGCAGGCCTAATACTTCTTGATATCAAGGCTCATGCTTTCCCACATTACTTGTACCGTGCAGCATATTCTGTGGGCAATAGCAAGTTGCTGAGAGTTTTAGCGTAATGGGTGGCACATTCATAGCCATGTGACATGCCCTGGATGAACTTCGGGGAGGAACGCACGCTAGGACACCAGTGACCTCCTTCCTGTCGTAGTTACCAACAGTGAGATGGCCCTGACCATTTTCCCTGAAACTCTCTTCCCAAGGCAGACCTTCTCTAGACTCCCAAAGTCTGTCCCACAGGGTAGCATCTTATCTTTAGAGAGAAATAAAATACTCCACTTCTGCATTTTTGTCTTGGCAGGCCTCCCCTTTCTCTGGCAGAAACTGGATTATTACCAGCTCCTGGCTTAAGTACTAACGGCAGCACTAAGCAATACCAGCCATAGTATCTATCAGAGTTTAAGGGCGAGGAGAGCAGTTTCCAGGAAACCTTGAGGTTTTCAGATTGTTCCCTGATGAAGTCCAGGGTCTTGAGGAAGCAAGGTCAAATATACTTAGGCAGTTAAAGAGAAAGAAAGCTCGTCTCCATGGCAAAGCCGCCTTCAGCCACAGTTAAAAGCACACCCCAAAAGAAACAGTGAATCTTCTCCCTAGAAGAGTAACCCTGTCGTTGGTAGAGGAATTAGGCAAAATCGAACAAGCCGAGAGAGTCTGAAGAGCGGTAGATTTCTCTTCCACATGCCAAGACAAGCTGTCCATACCTATCTCATTCAACACTTCTGCACTGGCCCTGGCCGGGTAGCTGAGTTGGTTAGAGGATTGTCCTGATATGCCAAGGTTTGGGGTTCGATCCCTGGTCAGGGCATGAACAAGAATCAACCAATGAATGCATAAATAAGGGGAACAACAAGTCAATGTTTCTCTCTCCTTCCCTCTCTCTCCAATCAATCAATAAACAATAAATACATAAAATAAAACTTCTGTACTGGACAGGGAGCCAGGACTGGGATGGATGTACCTGGTGACTGACCAGAGAGTTGGCCTAGGGACCCTGAGACCAGTGGCCAACAAGAAGCTTCTTAGTTCTCCTCCCAGGCAATCCCAGGTGCCCATCTTCCTGAGAAGCCATTGTTGGCACACAAGTCCTCACTTTCCCTTCTTCCCAGAAGGATCCTGGCACAGCCCTGGAAAGAGGCTGGGAGAACGCACAGCTTTCTCTCATGATGAGGCTCCCACCAGCCTAGGAAAGACATGGAGGCATGTGCCGTCAGTGAGGTCGGAGCAGCTCAAGAACCCAGGCTTCTGCACAGGGAAACAGAGTTCGCACTCCATCATCACGCTTCTGGGCTCAGCTCCTAACTCGTTTTAATCTCTCCGTCTCTCTTTTCTCACCTGCAAAAGGGAATATGGACCAGCCACCTCATAGGGTCACAGTGAGGATTAAAGAAAATGACTTGTGAACTGGCTGGCGGTAATGATCCCAGACCTGTTAGCTATTCTGGCTGCACATAACCCTTCCTCCTGCTGTGGGGGCAGGCACACGTCTATGCTTCCTGCCTGCTTCCCAGTAAGGAAATTACACCCCGACTATCTGAAGAATCTCCCAAACATCCCCCACCCGCTCGCGGTCCGTAGGCGTGGACTTAGGGGTGGGATGGCTCCCGGGTGCCTGGCGGTGACCCACCCTGCGGGGCGTGCCGACGGCGGAACCTCGTGCGCGCGTGCAGGTCCGCACATACGGGGACGGGCGAGCGTCTGCTCCACCGCCCGCCCCCAGACTCGGCGAGTCCCGCGGCCCGGGGGTAGCCTCCCCGAGCCGGTGGGCGGGGCGGGGCCGCTGTTCCGGGGCGGACCCAGCCCCCCGCGCTCGCTAGGGAGGGGCGGGCTGCACCGGCCTCCCTCCTGCGACCCCAACCCCAGGTCCAAAGCCACGTCTTCTCTCCCCGCGCGTCCCTGGGAAGGGGAGGGAGAGCAGAATGCAGTTGTGCGTAGTGATCACCCCCACGGCTTCTCTACTGATTCCTGTGAAACTTCCCCAGGGCCCCTCCATTCGCGAAGTGCTGGGGGGCCCACCCCCCGCTCCCGGACGGGGTCCTCTCGGTCTTGCAGAGAGAAAGCTCCCCAGCGCCTCCGAGGCCGCGGGGTGCCGGGCCGGGAGGCCGGGCGGCCGGAGGAAGAGAAGCGGAGAAGAAAGGGATGGGAGGGGGAGCGAGGAGCTCGCGGCAGAGGGAACAGCAGATTGCGCCGAGCCAATGGCAACGGCAGGACGAGGTGGCACCAAATTCCCTCTGGCCAATGGCGCTCCAGAGTCTACAGAAGCCCATTAGCATTTCCCCGGGGGCTGGCGCTGCGGCGGCCGAGCCGCGGTATGTCTGCAGCATCCAGTTTTTGCGGGTCCGGCCCCTAGCACGCCTCGCCTCTGTCTCCTCCCCTCCCCGCCCATGCGGGGGTCCCACCGCGAGCCAGCTCTGCGCACTTTGCCCCTGTTGGCAGCGAATAAAAGGCGTCTGAGGAAATACGGGACGCGCTCATCCCCTGCCAGCTCCAGCCTTTAAATCCGCGGCCGTGGGAGCTCCACGCACAGCGGGCTCACCGACCCCGACCCAGCGCGCACGGCCACCCTCCGAGCGCAGACGCGGGCTCAGCCACCGAAATCTCTCCGCTGCCCCGACTGCCCCGCACTCCACGCCGCAGCCTCCGCCCGGGGAGAGCGACCCCAGGCACCCGAGAGCCCCGATGCCGGCCCACTTGCTGCAGGAGGAGGTGAGTTGCCCGGCGTTGGCTCCCCGGCTCCCAGAGCGCGGGGTCGCCGGAGCTGGCCGGGCTCCTGGGTGACTCGCGTGGATGGAGGAGTTGAGATCCCCGCGGGGACAGAGCCATCTTTTGCGAGTTGAACTGCCTTCATTTGTTGGGCATCTGCATTGTAATTTGGGGACTTGGTTTCCGAACTTTTGTTTCTTAAGCTGAAAAGAAAACCCGGGTCGTGCCGGCACCCTTGCCTCTGTCTGTGTGCCTGCGGGAGTTCCTTTGTGTGTCCGCCTGGGTGAAAGTGTCTCACTCCTTCCTCTTGCCCCTTCACCTGGAGGCTTCACCCCCTCCCCGGGCTCTCTGCGTAGTTCCCGGGGACTTCCTTTTCTTCCCTCTGGGGTGGACTCCGCCTTCCGCTACCCCGGGTGTTGGGGCAGGGTCTGTGCCGATCCTTCACGCTCCCTCCCGCTGGGTTGGAGAGTGACGTGGCCCCTGCTCCCTCCACGTGCCGTCTCCGCTCTCCTGACCCTCCGCTGCCTCTCCCTTCCAGATGTCTAGCTCCTACACCACCACCACCACCACCACCATCACAGAGCCTCCCGCCAGGATCGTGCAGAATGGAGAAGGCAGCTCGGAGAAGCATCTCCTGCACGTGGAGGAAGACATCCGCCCTGAAATGAAAGACGACATCTACGACCCAAGTTACAAGGATAAGGAGGGCCCGAGGCCCAAGCTGGAGTACGTGTGGCGGAACATCATCCTTATGTCTCTGCTACACTTGGGCGCCCTGTATGGGATCGTACTGATCCCCACCTGCAAGGTCTACACCTGGCTCTGGGGTAAGAGTGTTTCTTGACCTCCTGACCCGGGACGCCAGGTTCTCTCCTCCCTTTAATAAGATAGGAGCTTACCTGGAACGGAAGGACCGGCCCCTACAGGTTCCCAGAGGCTGAGTGGACTGGGAACAGAGGCTAGGGGGACTGGGAGGCGGGAGTGGCCATGCCGGGGGTCTTTTCACATGGGTGCGGGGGAGGGAGCCCTGAGACCACGTGCTGCAGGCTTTGAAGTGGGTGCACCTGTGCCAGAGAGGCAGCTTCCCTGAAAGAGCTTTTCTGTTTCAAGCCATTTGCTGGGCAGCTTGTCCCAGCCCCGCCATCCACACAAGAATCAAGGCCCCTCGCTGGGAGCATGGGATGAGACCAGTGGTTTCAGGGGTATATGCTGAGCACAGTCGTGGGACAGCGAGAGAAACTGCTCAGGAAGAGAGGAGGGGGAGGAACCGAGAGGTGGTTACCCATAAAAGTGTTTGCCCTGACCCTTGGCCCACCAGCCTCCTTTGTTAGAGAGAAAGACGAAGCTCCTGTAGGAACCAAGTTAAACAGGTGTGGTGCTCTGCGACTCCCCGCAGGTCTCCCGGGCACTGTATGCACCACTCAGGGGAAAAAGTCCTTTGATTGAAATAAGGTGGGAGCAACGTTTCACGTCCCACTCCCCATCTAGCTGCTCAGCTCCTGACCCCTGATGCCAGGAGGTTGCTCCTTGCCTGGACAGCCAGGCCAGGCCAGAAAAGAGCCCCAAGCAGCCCCGGCCTTGAGGCTGCTGCAGTGAGGGAGGCAGGACCAATTCCGTCCCTGACCTGCCCTTAGCTCAGCTTTTTCAGGGACCCATGGGTATGAGCTGATAGCAGGGCCCTGCCCCCTGGCAACACACATGCGCTTTGCAGGCGTTTTCACCTCTGCCACCGTAAGCCTGAGTTGGGGGGGCGGGGGGAGATTAGGGAACTCTAAGGACCCAGGGGCCCCACACGGCCATTCTCCCAGGGTGGTTAGGGTTCCCAGAGGAGTCTCGGGCGAGGGGTGCTTGCTGAGAGCTGCACTCTGGCGGATAGTTATGTAGAAGGGCTAGTCGGCCAAGTGTTAGCTGATTCTCCCAGGACCTCCTACATCTAAAGGTGGTGGGATCTGGTCCCTAGAGCTTCGTGTTGGGAAATCCTCTCAGTGCCTCAGACAGTGAAACGCAACTGGGTAGACCCCTTCTCTCAGGATCTCCATCTTTCCAGGTACAAACTGGGACAACAGTACTTTTTTAGGATCAGGAAGGTAGCGCTCCTTAGGTTACAGGTGTCTCATTGCTGAGGCTGCGCAGGCACAGGATCAGCTCTTCTGCAGACCAGGAAGGCTCTTCTCTTTGTGAGGGGAGGGTCACATCTGTTCTCTAGCCCCTCTGAGATCCCAGCCAAACTTCAGTTCTCCACCTTCCTACCCAAAAAGGGAGTCCCTTCCAGCCTCAGCACTCCCTGTAGGCCTGGTTAAGGCCAGAATTTGACCAGACTGCTTCTGCTTGCTCCCCACCCTTGGCTGCTGGAGCAGGGGGCAGAGTGCGATCCCCAATCCAAGGCTGTGCCCACTCCCTTCATGTGCCCTGCCCACGTGCCTTTGGGCAGAGAAATGTGGCACACAGAGACTGGACGGTGACCTTTTGTACTCCTTTCCCTGGGCCTTGTGGCGGATGGCTTAGCTGACTGATAACCATCCTGGTATGGGGATAACAGAACTCCTGTTTTAAGAAACAAAAAAGAGAGAGGGACCATCAGGGGCCCCACTTTTAGAGTTTAGGAGCTCGGCCTCAGCCTTTTCTTTTATCCCCAAGGACAGTGTTAAAGTAGCAACTGGTTGTGATTACAGCATTTCTTGTGACTGAGCAATTTAGAGAGCCTCCCAGAAGGGCCCTCAGGGGCAGCCTGAAGGCATATCTCTGGCAACACTGAGAGCCGAGGGGCAAAATTTCCCTTCTCTGAGGGCCAAAGCTGTGAGATTTTGCTTAACCATCAATTTGGACACTAGTAGAGAGCGAGCCTCCTTCTAGCTGACAGGCTTAGAGCTGCTGATAGAAAAGGCACTAGACTAGAGTGCTTGGATTCTTTTCCCAATTCCCCTGTTAATGCTGGGATCTTAAGTGCTTTCTGAGTTAACTCACAGGGTCATCTGTGGCATGAAACAACCCTAGGAGCTTTCTTCATTCAGAGCCAAGTGCTTCTGTTTTCTTGCCCAAAGCCATTTCTCTTCTTCCTTGTTGATTCTGTGGTTGTGGCTCAACTGTCATTCTTCCAGCTGCCGATGCAGGTAGATTTTGCAACTGGGAGGATATAGTCACATGGCTTAAGGCCAGCAAATCATGTAGCAAAGGGATTAGAGACAGAACTTTCATTGGGATGGACTCTGGCTCCACGCTCTCCCGGGGATCCTGTAGGAGGAATAGGATAGGGTGGAGGAAGATAGGGTAGGGGAGGGGGGGGCTGTTTAGGAAACTGCTATCTGTGGCTGGAGAAGAACACAGGACAATTTGTTACAATGTGTGGTGTCTCCAACTGCAACTAAATTCTGTGGCCACTGAGGACCCATTGTTTTGAGCTGTATCCCTAGGAATGAAACACTGTCAACAGTCAACTGCTCTACCAAGGCCTTAGCCCCTGCCTCCTAGAGCTACTGAACAGAGGAAGATGGGTAGACCCAGCAACCCACTGCCCCGTTAGAGATTATAGCTGGCACCTCCTGAGCTGGCAGGCCTCCAGGAAGGTGAGGGAGGACAGCGCTGGGGTTTTCCACCAACAGCTCTGAGCATATCCCACCATCAGCTAAAATTAGCCTTGCCTGAGAGAGTAGGAGCTGACAGAGGGGTGTGGCAAAAGAGAGACACAGGAAC